AATGGAAGCACTTCAACGCTGTTCTCAAGAGCTGATGGACTGGTTTAACCAGAATTTGATTGCTATAAATATAACTAAAACAAAGCTGGTTGGCTTTCATAATCCTTTAAAAGTTGTTTCTTTAAATATTCCCCTTTATCTCCGTTCGTCCCACTGTTCCCCATGTTATTGTAATGAAGTTCCATATTCCGACACTGTTAAATATCTCGGAATACATTTTGATTCCGATCTTTCATGGAACTCGCATCTCACAAAACTGTGTGCTAAGTTACGAAGTATTTTCTGTCTGCTTTATAATACTAAAGCATTCATGCCTTTCATTCTACGCAAGCGCGTTGCTTATGCATTAGCCTACTCCAATTTGCGGTATGGCATAACTATTTTTGGTAAATGCTCCAAACTTGCGGAAAGCTTCAAGATTCCTCACTCCAATATGTTATACCCGCTACGGCAAAAATATGCGTTCGTACTACGTCTCTCAGATTTTTAACCTATTGCCCGCAAGCTCTTTCAGAGATTACTTCTAAAAAGAAACTCAAAAAGGCATTCCGCACACTTTCCATCGATGAAGAGGCCTTATAATACCTCATTTTTTGGTTTCGTCATAATTGGTGTTGCTTGCTCACATGAATCTTTTTTCGAGTCAACATTTTTTTATGTAGTGTAATGTAGTAATGTCTGTGTACTTGTGTGTGCGCGTATCTGCGTGTGTGTGCCTGTGTATGACTCCTATCATCAAGTTCTTATACGATACGACTGGAACTTAGCCATACCTCTTTTTTCCTTCTACTAGAAAAATAGCTTATATTTGTATTGTACATTTTTTTCCTTGACTCTGACAATAACTTTCTGACTGACATGTTTGTGTAGTTTTCACAACTGGAGAAACCATGTGGTGTTTTTCTGCTTTATTTTATTATTTTCCGAAACTCTCTTATTTACCACTGCTACTTATAGGTTCAGTCCTACAAGCCCACGCTGGCTTCGACGAACCTGCCTAGTGCAGTCTTGAATACATCGTGCATAAATAATTTTATTATTATTATTATTATTATTATTATTAATAATTATTATTCTCTTTGTGGGAAACTTCGGAGCGTTAGTTGTATACTTTTCAATAATAGAGTTTTCATGCCATTTTTCGTGAGGAAGTCAATTGCACATGACCTTGGCTATAGCTTACTTAGGTATGGCATTACAGTGTTCGGGAATTGCGCGCAACTGTGGCAAATTAAAATTGACCGTATATTAAAGGCTATGTTGAAGAGCGTAGGATATCAGATGGATTTTCCACCTGATATTAATGTTTTCGAATTTCTACAGATGCCAAATTTTTCTTCTCTATTTTTGCAAACTGTTGTGCTGCGACATTTCTGGAGTAATGACTTTAAGCGCCCCTCTGTACATCAAAGGAGTCTTCGCTGCACACCACGACTTCTTACCCCTCTTGTGTTACGCGTTACGGCAAAAGAGTTCGGCCTTATTACGTACCCTTCGTTTTCAATAAACTTCCGGAGAGTGTCATCAACGCCAATACAAGGAGAACGTTAAAAACATTGTTGGCCAATCTAAAAATTTAGCGCGATTACCCAAAATTTGCTTCTAGTACTTTGTGCCCCCTGTGTTGACGAAATGTTACCTATTGTTTATTTCTTCATCTTTTTACTAGCCATTTGATTTGTTTTCGTCGTCCGACTTGCCGGGTCCTGTCCCACAAGCCCATTGTGGCTTGGACAGACCCGTATTTGTACTGTGTTTCTGAATTCCTGCCTAATAAATATTATTATTATTATTATTATTATTATTATTATTATTATAATACAGACCTATTTCTTTACTCTGCTCGTTTTCTAAGCTCTTTGAGAAGGTCATCCACAGGTCTCTGTCTTTTTCACTTCAAAGCACGATAAGTACCAACCAGCACGGTTTTTTCGCTGGTCGTTCAACGACGACAAATCTGGTGGCATTCGCGGCTGCTGCGTCTAAGGTTGTGTGCGACAGAGGTCAACTTGACGTTATATACTTTGATTGTAGCAAGGTCTTCGACACTGTAAACCACAGTATACTTTTATCTAAGCTCTCTGCAGTTGGTCTTTGCGGTCCGATTTACTGTCTTCTGGAGGACTACCTAAGGGAAAGGGTTTGTTATGTGCGTGCGAACGGGTCTTGCTCCTCCACGTATAACGCAACTTCGGGTGTACCACAGGGTTCTGTACTGGGCCCGTTGCTATTTTCTGTTTTTGTGAATGACGTCGCAAGCGCCATCACCACGTCTTCTTTCTTGCTATATGCAGACGATATAAAAATATTTAGAGAAATAGGCGGCGAACCTGACTGCATGGATTTACAGTCTGATATAACCTCGTTTGTTGGCTGGTGCTCACGTAATCACCTGAAGATCAACGAGTCCAAAACAAAAGTCATGACCTACTCTAGAAAAACTGCCACAGTACCATTTAACTACACAATTAACACTAATCAACTATCCCGCGTTGGCGAAATCAGAGATCTTGGTGTTGCATTTGACTCTGCTTTGCGTTTCCAGGGTCATGTTATGCATATTGTGAAGTCTGCGCTGCGCACCCTGGGTCTTGTGTGTCGTGTATCACGAGAATATCCTGACCCTAAAACATTTTTAACCTTATATTGTTCCCTGTGTCGTTCTCACCTTGAGTATGCATCTGTTGTGTGGGGTGGGACGTGCCACTCTAATCTATTGAGGATTTCTCGTGTACAAGCGAAATTCGTATCTATTTTTAAACACCGTTTCAACTTTGCAAAAGCAGTTGATGACGTGCATAGTTCACCCATTCGACTGCAAGACTTGTAGGGACGCCGAAACACTGCGCAGCTGCTCTTTCTTTATAAATGTATACATGGTCAAATAGATAGCTCCGACATCCTGCATCAGGTTTCTCTGCACGTACCGCGAGTGACGACAAGAAAAACGTCAACCTTCTATCTGGCATCTAGAGTTAATACACTTGATCCAGTATCTCGTGCGGAACTCCTTTATAATAACTCTTCTCTTAATCTCGATATATTTCTTGACAACTTCTCCGATTTTGTTAAATCTGTGCGGAAGATCTTTTGTGACTTTCGATGAACTTCCTGAATCAACTGCCGGGTTTCCATATGTATTTCTATGACTTGTTGATTTCTTGTTTCTATTTGTACGGAGCTGTATGTGTAGTGTTCAGACGATCGCGTCTGTTTGCATCCAAGTGAAGCATCCATATGTATTGGAACAATTTTTTTCGTGTCTTCATTTCTCTGTGCAATTTTTGTGCACTTTTTGTTTTGTTTTTCTGTACAATTTTGTGTACACAGTTCTCGCGTCTTCTTTTTTGTAGAATTTTATGTAAAACTGCCTTCCGTGTTTTTTTTTTTCTTTTTCCTTTTTTTGTGTGTGTGTGTTTTTGTTCTTTTTTACGTGCGCCAGCACCAAAACCGCAAGGTTGTTCCTGGGCACAAATAAAAACTATTCTTGATTCTTGATTCTTGATTCTTGATTATTATTATTATTATTATTATTATTATTATTATTATTATTATTATTATTACTACTATTATTTCATTTTCCATAAATTGCCAGATCGCTTCTTTGAGAGCACTACAAAGAGAAAACTGAAAAATATTCTGACCAATTTAAGCTTGTAGTAACCCTTCGTTGTACTGTTTTTTACTTATCTTCTGCATAGTTCTTATCTTATTTTGAGTTGACCTTATTCTTTGTGCACTTTCGCCGTTTCGACTTGTCGGGTACTGTCCCACAAGCCTCCTGTGGCTTGGACAGACCCGTATTTGTATTGTGTCATTTAATACATGTGGAATAAAATTATTATTATTAGTAGTAGTAGTAGTATTAATATACTTTTGTCCCTTTACCCGATAAATTTAGCGGGACAACTAAATTGGTATTCAGGATCACGTCACCTGACCTGATGTCAGGTCAGGTGACGTGAACTTCCCCACTAAATTTAAAGGAAAAAAATTTAATTGGTGTATAAGTCACGTGACCTATAAACCAATTCAATGTAATGTCACGTGACGTGAGATCGCGTGACAATGTTTTTTTCTGACGTGACGTCAGGCCACTTTAAGTCAAGTTTTCCGCTAAATCTGGCGGGGAAACTGAATCGGTGTATATAGGTCACGTGACATAACGGATCACGTGACGCCGATTTCCCCGGCTTTCGGGCTGCCCAAGAGTTAGTGACACAGTGACGTGAAATTAGGTTGACACTAGGTGGACCCTAGTGACACTAGTTGACCGAAAATGCAACCCAAATGACCTGCCTGTTAGGCTGCTCTCTTCCTACGAGAATCACACCTCCTGTCTTGTTTACTTCACTTAGAGGAACCGGGATGTTTTCCAAGTGTTTGGAGGTGGCGCCCATATTCCCTGCAAGTTGTGCATTCTGTGCCCCTGCCACGTGCTCTTTAACGTAAGTCCCCGACAAACACCAATTTATTTTTTTGACAACAAAATTTACAACCGAAGAACACCGATCGTCTGTGGGATAAACTGAACCCGGAAGTAAAAGTTTGCCCAATATGAGAAAAAAAAATGTTACCGCGGGAAATACGGAGCCTAGAGTTATGTCCCCACCAAACGAGCAATACAACTTGCCGATATAATAACGATTTCAATAAAACTCGTCGGTCGTTTGTAATAACTGTTTATTTGCCATTCATCGATTTTTGTTTAACGATAAACGAATTTAAGGTACGGTTTTAGATTAAGTGAAGCCTATTAAAGCGTAACCGCGAATTTCCCCGCCAAATTTAGCGGGAAAACTGAATTTGTGTAGGTCCCGTGATATTGAACATTGAAAACATTGAAACATTTCTTTATTTCCATCAACGATGGGGGAAAACCAAAGGAAAAAAGCTGCTATTTGCAGCTTGACCGGCCCTTTGGTACCCCTACAAGGCAAGCAACACTAACACAGAAAAAAAAAAAAAAAAAAAAAACAATAGAAGGTATGTTTTAAGTATTATACAATGCAAGAGATATCATCTCTGCCCACTGACATAACATCAAATCCTAATGATGCGATATGATTTAGTAGCTCGGGAAGTGCATGTTTAATTCTTTGACGTCCAAAGTTAGTTCGTGATTGTTGTATATGCCATGGATGTATCTGACGTGTTTGACGAATGGAATCGTGCAAATGAAGGTCCGCAATAGCGAGAAAAGTATCATATTTACCTTTCATGGCAGACTGGAATGTTAATATTAATCGTTGTGGATACATTTTTGAAACGTCAAGTATGGAGTACTTCTCAAACAGTGGCAAGGATGGAGAGGTTGAAGAGACATTAGCTATGGCTCGTAGAGCTTTTTTTTGCAATATTCGAAGCAAGTTTAAGTTCGTTGTGCCGGTAGACCCCCACACTAGGTGCGCGTAGCATAAGATGGGATAGAATAGTGATTTAAAAAGTTGAATTTTGACACTTGTGGGTAAAATGTTTCTATATTTATTTAACACACCCACTATTCTAGAAAGTTTAGTGCGAACGTGTCTAATATGGTCGTTCCAAGACATGTTATAAGAAAAAAATACACCAAGAGTTTTTACATTTTCAACATATTGAATAATATCAGTGCCATATTTCAGAAGAGAGGATGAGGTTGCTTGAGTTCTGGAATGTAGTTGGAATATTATAGCCTTGCTCTTGCTAGCATTTATATCAAGGGAATTGTTTATGCACCAGGTTTTTAATTTTGAAAGGACATTATTTGTTTTGCTGATAAGACGTTCACTATTTGAATCAGAAATGATCATACTTGTATCATCTGCATAAATAATAAAATCTACATCAGAGTCAATAGCAACTATATCGTTTATATAAAAAAGAAATAAAAGGGGACCTAGAATGCTTCCCTGGGGAACACCGCAATTAATGTTAAGCAAAGAGGACCTATGCTCGTTTATGGAAACATATTGGCAACGGTTCTCAAAATATGACCTTAACAATGAAAATGAAACTCCCCGAAAGCCATACGAAAATAGCTTGTCTAAAAGTATACCATGGTTGATGCAATCAAACGCTTTACTAAAGTCAAGGAAAACGCCAATCGTTGTTAACTTTTTTTTCTAAAGTATCTAAAATAATTTCTTTTTGGTGCAAAAGGGCAGACTCGGTAGACCTAAATTTTCTAAACCCAAACTGAGATTCTATTAATACATTATGATGATCTGAGAAATTTGTGATCCTTGAGTGCATAAGCTTTTCTAAGGCTTTTGAACAAATAGGAAGAATGGATATTGGACGATAGTTCCCCATACTATTTCTATCTCCTGCCTTAAACAGTACTGTTACTTTTGCTGTTTTCATGCCTGGGGGAAACACACCCGACGAAAGAGCAAGGTTATAAATATGTGTTAAACAAGGCACAATGAGGTCGACAACAAATTTCACGGGTTTAATGTTTATACTATCAGCATCGCAACTGTGATTGTTGCGTAAATTATTTATCGTCGAAAAAACTTCATATTCATCGGTAGGATAAAAAAATATAGTATCACAAACTCTAGGTATATTTTGTGCTGCATCACTGCAGTAGGTACTAGACTCAACGTTCACAAAATAACGATTAAAAGCATCTGATAGTTCAGAACCGCACTTTTCCATCCCATCAATAACTAATTTTTCTATTCTATCATTGTTAGTATTTTTGCCCAAGAGAGCATTAAGTCTTTTCCAAAGCAAGTCAGGATGCTTCATACATTCAAAATCAAAAAGTTGGTTATAATAGTTTCGCTTTGCACGCCTCAATTCTGCGTTCAGGTGGTTTCTCAGTAACTTAAATTCTGCTAGTTTGACCAAGTCTCGCGATTTTAAAAATGCTTTATATAAGCGATCTTTGGCACGCATTGATTTTAAGTGATCTTTAGTAACCCAGGGTTTCCGGGCACGTCTATCGGTTCTAACCAATCTTAATGGAAATGAGGACGTATAAATACTTTTAAAAACCTCAATAAATTTGTCGTAAGCTTTATTTATATCCTTTATGCCTATTATACTGCTCCAGTTCGCGCTCTCAACGTTTCTTCTAAACGCCTGCAACGTTTTATCGTTAATGCTTCTAATGTATCTGGTGGGTTGAAGTTTATTGACCTTCGTTTTAGCTGTAGCGTTATGTTTATGAATTAGCATGAATATGGGCAAATGATCACTCAAATCTAAACACATTACTCCAGCAGTAATATTTGAGCTATCGTGATTGGTAATAAACATGTCAAGCAAGGAGGAACATGACGCTGTTATACGCGTGGGAAGAGATATGACATTCTGAAGATTATGTGCAGACAGTAATAAAGATAACTCCGACTGATTACGTGATAGATCAAGAAAATCAATATTTAGGTCGCCTCCAAGGATGAAATTGCATTTAACTTCAGTCATAGAGCTAAACAACTTTTCTAGAAATTCAAAGAACTGGGACACATTTCCATTTGGTGGGCGGTAAACAACACAATACACTTCAAGGTTTTTACGTATGCATAGTACTTCGTAATGATCTGTAATGGCTGAGTATTCGGATACAACCTCAAAACCTGTGTTTGATATCAAGATGGATACACCACCACCACGGTTTTGTTTGCGGTTCAGATAAAAGTGTTCATATCCCGGTAAAAGAAAAACATCGCTGTCATCGCTGTACCAGGTTTCAGTGAGCATGATGATATCGAACATTGGTTCAAACGTGTTAAAAAGTAAAAAGAGGTCATCGGTTTTAGATCGCGCCGACCTAACGTTAAGGTGAAAAAATTTGAGACATTTCTTATCAGTTTTTCCAAACAACGCATTCACTTCGTGAGGGTGGTAAAAGCAATTTTGCACCGCCATCGAGAATTATGAAGTTATACAAAAATACAGCAGTCATCGAAATATTCTACGCTAATTCCTAATTTTTTCAACATCACCCAGGCAAGTAATTTTAAGTACATCTGACGTCGTATCTTTACGCGCAAATATTTTGCCACCAGAGCACCACACAAACTTCCACCCAACCCTTCTTTTCTGCGCGATAGCCGTTCCCAGCAGTTTTTTGTTCAAGCCTGTCAAGTGTTCGTTTACATAAACCGGTGACTCGGCTCCGCCAAACTCGAGGGATGCAGTAGTGATCCGTTTTTTTTTTGGCCTTTTCCAAAATTGTGTTCCTTTTTGAGCGCTGGACGAAGCGAACAATTATGTTCTTTTGATCTGGCACCAAACTATATCAAACCATGTAACCTCAATTTTCCTGCTAAATTTAGCGGGAAGTTCATTGAGTCGATGGGGTGGAGAGGAGTGGAGAGTTCCGGAGGCAGAGCTCGAGAAGAAATATCCTGGAGGTTACCAGCGCTTAACCAAGAACGTTTCACATAACAACACAATTGCAGGGCAACTTTTTTTTTTTTTTCTAAAAAATTTATTGATGTTGCTCGTACGCAAAAATGCTCATCGTCGGTAGGTGACAAAAGAACAGGGTGAACAGCTTCACATGCTTTTGAAACGATGAACTGCAAATGTGTCATTGTTTGCTGACAGTGTACTATGCAGACCCTTGGCAGCTTACGCCATATGCTGAATGCTCGTCTATAGGTACGATTTACACCGACAACTCAAGAAACGCCATGTCGGTGCTTACTATATTCTTCCTTCATGCTCCGTAATTCGTCGTTTGGCAAGTTTTTTTTTTTTTTATCCGCAAGCGCGTTGGACTATAGTGAGATTGTGTGGCGATTATGCGCACAGCGCCATATGCAGTCTGCTCGCACACGACATAGACGCTTCACCCCATTTTACTCAGACCGGTGATTGGCGAGCGCATGAAACATAAACCGCCCGCGTTTTCTTACGTTACGTTATAAGTCACCGAAACATCCGTGCCTCCAATGTCGCCTGCAAGGCTAGCGTCTCCTTGATCTGGTTGCTGTTAGGCTGCATACCAAGGGAGGACAGATGTCCCGGTTACTCTCGACATTAACGGACTTAACATTTCGTGACATAACGCAACGTAAGCAAACGGTGCTGTGTGAACCAACGATGGTGTGAACCGACCTTTATGACTCTTCATTACACCTAACGGTTCTGGTAACATCTTTTCCATTTTATGGGAGAAAAAAAAAAGCGATTTTATGTTTGTGCAAACAGCGCCGCACTTTCTAGTCTATCCTAAGGGCATCAAGGACCCTCCCTGATGGCACGCCCTGGGAGGGGCAGCACGACCACCATCACGTAAGGCCTAGATTACTATCGAATATACGTTTTCGAACGTACGGATACTACAAACAAAACAACTGCGAACGTCGACCGGTAGAACGGAATTTTAGGTGTTTATCTCTTTTTTTCCCCTACCCCCGATCCGTTAAAATTAAATTTAACGCACGTTTATAACGGCTCTTGTTTTCCTGTGAACACCTTAATGTTTACAAAAAATGTAGTCTAGAACTGTATCCAGCTCCTCAAAAAACATGGTGCTACTCTGTTTGCATCGCGTAAACTAAAGAATGCTATATAGATAAAAAATATTTAAACGCCTTTTCCGAAGTTGTTGAGAGAAGAAAGTGGACATTCATTACAAACAGCGAGGTCAGCGAGCGCACTGTGCAGCCTCGTAAAGCTATAAAGAAGAAGAAAGAAGAAACGAAAAATAGTCTAGACAAGTGTAGTGAAAAAAAGGCTGGAGTTAAAAAAGGAGTATATCGCAAAATTAAAAAAAAAAAAAAATGAAAGTGTCGTCAAGACGGTATACGGACACGTGTAATTAGCTTGTGTTTATTAGATTGACTGCATAAATCTCACTTCCAGCTTTTTATGGTTGCTTTTGTTTTTATGTGTACCATATCGCAAGCCGAGGCAATTTTTGTTATGCGAAATATTACGAAAAGATGGTATAATCTTTCAATAAATAAATAAATAAATAAACATCGCCGTTTTTACACTTAGCAAAAAAAAACACGTTAATATTACCTTTATCGGAACTTGAAGCCGAACTGATCGCATTATTCTAATCTGAAAAATATCCAGCGGGCCTACTTTTAATGTAAAGCAGTTGGGTTCAATCTCACGGCGCCAGCTGTGATACTGAACATTGTGAAACGCCATGTTTAATGTCACAGCGCAATTTCTGTTTTTGTCTAAAGTATTTTAAGTTTTCTTTTTCGTCGAACGTGTTCCATACAATGGTTGGCTCCCACAAGTTCTTGGCGGGAACATACTGACCTACCCGATAGAGTGTGAAGTGAATGAGCCTGTTCATTGAACTTAGCTTTCTCTCAAGCGATAATTAACCGATAAGTGACGAGAATATCTGTAAACATGTTCCCGGAGTGACCCGTTAATCTAGCGGTTATTTTTAAATGAAATATTTGACGAATTCCGGTCATAGCTCTTGTATACCATCGGCCGATTATTTCTTCGCGATATTCCTTTGACAGCTGCGTAACCTTCCGCGCAGTTTAAACACACTCGGATACTGTCACGTAAGAAGCGCACCGTAATCAGAGAGAGATCCAATATAAGAAGAGGAAAAAAGCGCTCCAACGAAGCAAAAATAAAAAAAAAAGACTGGCAACTCCCCGGAATGTTTATTGCAGGTGTCATACGCTATGACGTCGACATGGAAACGCGGACGGACTTCAGCGAGTCTGCCAGCTGTTCAGCTCGCGAACAAAGAAGGCTCTGCTGCACAAAAGAATAAACTAACAAACGACAAACAAGCGAAGAACGACGTGCACACAGGCACGTGAACGCGCACACGCAGAAAAATGCTCAGTATAGACTCCCGGCTCTGCACACAAACACAAAAACACACACACGAACAAACACGTGCACGAAGGTACACACACAAACATGCGAACGCACGTACACACACAAACAGACAGACATACAGACGCACACACACGCAAGCACACCTACACACGAACAAATGCATGCACGAAAGTACACAGACAAACAGACAGACATACAGACGCGCACCCACACAAACAACCATTCTCAGGATAGAGTCCCGACTCTGCACAGACACACACGCATACACACACGGGCATACACACAAACACATACACACAAAAGCACGCACATACAAGCATGCTAAGTATTAACTTTCGGCTTTGCACGGACACACACACACGCGGATACAAATACACACACACACACGCACGTATACGACATAAATGGCACGGCGACGAATGAAGAGAGAGGGCGTTAAAAAAAAAGGAGGAACTGGCGCGCACACGCGCACAGGCGTGAGGGGGTCGCACCTCCCCGAGTTCGTCCTATCTTATCCGCCAAACCTGGCACTATAGCCTCAGTTATTTCCTGCGCGTCTCGGCACCCGGTTAACACGAAGCGTCGAGTTTCTTCGAAAGTGTCTACGTTCCATCCGCGTATACGAGACCGTCCGCGAGCAGGGAACTCGCATTCTCACACCGCGTCGCGAATCGTCGCCGACTAGAGAGAGCAGGACGCGAATTCCCGCTGCTGTTTACAGAACCCAACCAGGAGACAAAAGAAGACGGGGACTGGTACGACCGGAGGAAAAAGAAACAATTTGACGACTCGCATTTTTGTTGTTTTTTCCTCCTTCGTCTCGGAGGCAGTCGAGGAGTGCACTCGAGGTTCGCGAGGTTGTCCTTGATTCCTGGCTCTCTCTTCGTCGCTTCGGGCTTGGACGACCAAAACAGGACGTTTCGACTGCTATTGGTAACTGGTAAGCCCTTCATTAACGTGATTCGTGCCTTTGTTCGTTCGTTTCTTTCCGCTTCATAAGTAAACTATACACTCTTGCCGTTTTCTCTTTCTTCTTTTTTAGTGTGTATTTCTTAAATCTCATACAAGCTGTGATTCTGTTGCTTATTGTGTTCGCGCGCCTTGCTTCGCGAGTCGTTATTTTTTATTTGTGATGGGTAAATACCGGAATCCAACATATGTTGTTTTTATTGTTGTTGTTAAGGGGGATGAATACCGGAGCGAAAATAGTTTTCTCGGGACTCACTGTACTCTGCACTTCTTACGCTTGCAAAGACTATATCGCTTTACTGGAAATGAACTGGACAGCTTCATTACAAACATTTTAACGTCTTTGTTTTATTAGCGAGACCCTGGGTATATAAACCGTTACCCCAAAATGACAAAGCGTAGAGCAGCTCAGAAAAAAAAAAAAAAATATATATATATATATAGGCAGCACTGTTTTGTTAAAGGGAAGCTGAGGCCGTTTTGTATTTGAGTAAAACAATTAAATCATCTTCATTTGGCCTCTAAAATCACGAATATCGTTTTTTTTTTGTTTTTTTTTTTCCCAATTTGGTGCATGGTCTCTTTAAAAAAAAAAATTAATTTCATGGTACCAGAAGCGCCTCCTTCCCGAACAATAGTTTTCGTAATATCTTGTATATCTTCAGCGCCTGTCAAAGCTATTCACGCGCACTCTTGCTATTTTCAAAAAGGTAAAAAAAAAAAAAAAAAAAGAACGCCACGACTGATGTTATTCTGGGAGAATACACCCGGAAAAGCTTGAAATTGCACGCGCTGCCCGCACGAGCGACACGCGCTTGGCGGCCCAAAGATCCTAGTATGCCGTAACGACTGGTCGGAGATATTTCCTCCTTTTTCGCGTTTAGTTACATCTTCGAGGAAAACGAACGGGGCATTCAGATCCACGGGATAAAAATACTATAGAATTAACCTCTAACTCTTTTTTTTTTGCAAGAACTTCATCTGTTTACTGCACACCGATACCAAATAGCCTTTCCCCTCGCTTTAATCGAAACTATCCTTACGAAGAGTTTACTTCGTTTTGTTTCTTGCAACGCGTAAACAATACAGTCTTATATGTTTCGCTTTGCGCCAATAAAAAAAAAAAAAAAAAAAAAAAAAAGATAGGGAGAAGTAGGTAGTCTGCGACACCTGTAAGACACACTGAGAGCTGTGACGAAGTCACGCCGGTTCTAACTTTCGTACACTTGTTTTTTTCTTTTTTTTTTCACGAATTTGACACGAAATCCTTCGTCTCCGTAGAGCAAGGACACTCGGGCCGACCCGATAGCAGATGGCTTTCACGAACCTGCAGAATGATACATCAGGGCCACTTTGGGTTCGGAGAGGTGCCTCGCTTGCGAGGGCGGCGTTTAAAGCTTTATGAGCCTAATGGGTTTACGACGCGTTGTATCTGTCGTACGGCGACGATAAGTCCATTCTGACGCTCTGCCGACATTCCCCGTACGTTCTGCTCCGACGTTCACCGAACTTGTAGAGAGAAGCACCGGAAGGTGCACGTAAAAAGTGCGCACGGTGCTGTTCGAAATGGTTATATCTAGAAACTGGGCGGACAATCGGAAAACCGGAGGAATAGTGTTACGAATGCACCATGGCGGACAACATGACCTGCATCTTCTCGGCGTACATAGCAGTCCTTGGAGAAGCTGTGGTCCAAACTAAGGGCTGGAATGTGAAGCTCAGGTTCAATTTATTTGACCTCTTTGACAAATGGAGAGGTCATGCAGCTTGCTGAGACAGAAAACGCAGAAAACCGTCCATTCGGATGCAGCTCTGTTGCAGCTCTGTTGGCAACAACGTTTGAGAGAAAATGAAAATAACTAGCTCACATTTTTCCCCTTCTATTAGCCAAGTATAAGACTGAAATACACTTCGTTTAACGAATATACGAGCGGAGTGTTTAGGTAAATAAGGTACTCAGTATAAAGTCATTATTTGCCCTTTCGGGCTAGTAAGAGTTTTGGATCTTTTCGACTGTATGCGCGCGCAATGAAACTTACTTAAAACAAGCGCTTGCGCCAGGCCGTGTTCAGGAATTACAGTACTTAAATTACACAGTCCTTGCAGCGATTTGAGTAATTCCCACTCATCGTCACAAAATAGTCATTTTACAGTGCCCTAATTTATTCACCGATATATTTTAATCCTTACTGCGCCTTACAAAAATCATCATCTGCAATGAGTGTAGCATATAGCCAAACTATTGCCACTGGCCAAGTAAAAAACGCAGGGTTTTAGTGTTTTCAAGCTTCTTGCTTCGCGATTAGTTCTTTGGTACTTTTTATCAGCTAATGGCGCAATCTTATTGACTGAGAGCGATAATAAGATCCACGAACTTGCCACTACCTGCTTTTTTATTTTTTATAGCTATCTTATACAGCGGAAATCGTTAAAACCCTAAGCTACCAAATTCAGTTGTCGTTAGGCTTGTAAGCTTGCCCCGTGACAAAAACAGCAACAACAAAAACAACGTTTATCGTATCGTTTTTTTTTTTTTACAATTTATTTGATAGGAGAAACTGTCATATTGTGTACAGTTTCCGAGTTTCAAAAATACGGTACCTGAATTTATGGTCGATGTTAACTGTTCATATTGCAACCTGTCTGTCGTATTGCGGCAGAAACAAAATGGCTGCAGGGTATACCTTACAGCACGCATTTGTAACAAACTCACGAGGGATTGTCAAAGCTGCTGTACCCTTGACATGTGCGATGGTCGAAGTATGTCAGGGGACCTGACATTATCCGTACGGCGAAAAGCCCATTACAGCTTGCTTTTTTTCTTTTAATGTTCTTTGTGTTCACTCATTTTCCGGACCGGGGAATGTTACGTCAGTATACGGCGCCAGATGTGCTGAACTGCGGCATGGTATCATCCTCGGGATTATATTCAAAGTTGAAACTTCGTTTTCTGTTTAGTTTAGTGTGGAGGGTAGCTTTTTGTTAATAAAGAAGCGTGTTGCACGGTATGAGTGCAACAAGCGACGAAATTTCGCCATGTTTTCTGGTAGGACTGTTCAACGAAAAGGGAGGTCAGAGGAAACAGTTTCGCCAGTCGAACAGCTCCCAACATCTCAAGAAACGCGAGGCTTTTTTGAGGTTGTAGCCTCAGCCGACAGCCGTACCGATCAAAGGACCGCCCCCGAACCGAACAGCACGATTATAATAAGCCACCCTCCGTGCTTCTTAAAAACAAAATGCTGTCGGCGACAATAGATTAACTCATTTCACTAACGTCACTTCACTGTGGTGGCGCTGCTGTCGGTACTGCGCATGCGCAGTACCGACAGAGAACATAGTGAATTCGGGGCATTCAAGCACCAAAAAGCACATAAAAGTACAGATTGATTTTAGGTTCAATCATAGTACCAGTCTCGTCATCCGCCGAGATCTCTCTCGGTCTCTCCGGATTACAGCGTCATACATTTTGTGTGACGTATTAGCGGTTGATGTTCACCACCGCATCAATTAGTCACTTCGATCAGTGTCATGATTATGTACTAAATGAATGCCAATGTCTCGCACTTTCAGGTAAACGTTTTTGTCATCGATGGATATGACGGACGCGTTGAACCTCCTCACGAAGTATGTCCCGTGGACGACGGCGGTGCTCCTCTGGACTTTGAACGAGGCGACCTGCTGGACCTTGGACGGCCGATTAGTGACGTCATACCGGGCTTCCTCAAACACAGACGTCTCCGAGGAATACGAGCCGACTTCCGGATTCGCCCAACATCCGCCCAACGATAACTCCACGACGACCGCCACGAGTAAGTCGAGTTTCCGTGTGTGCGCGCGATGCGAAACCAACAGCTGTGACGTGCGTTGAGCAAGAACAATCTTCGAAGAAATATCGAGGGGGAAACCGGTTTCGTCGAGGATACGTTACGTCGATCGCTTCGGGGTGCCATCAATGATTGCTTAATTCTCATTAGTGGGGAACGAGTACCGCTACCGAAACGGTGTACGGCGCTGACGCGAGACTAAGTTAAGCAGGGTGTAAATATAAGCAGGGTAAACTATTCTCATAATCTATTAAAAAAAAAATTCCTGGATAGTTGGTTTCCTTTTTTCTTTTTTCTCGCAAATAACGTTTTTGGGATTTTCGGAAGCTAAAGCAAAAATCAAGACAACACAAAAAATCCTGGTAAAGTGGCAAATGAAAGTGGTACAAAATCCCACCATATACATTTTCGCGCTTTCCAGTGGTGTGACGACATCATATCTTAAAAAAAAAAAAAAAAAACATGCGGTTGAGCGGGCAGTTTAATAAACATGGTACGTCGCGCTTTCTTCTTTGTTGTAGTTCTGCTCTAATTAGCTTTAGCAGCAAGCATTGATTTCACGCAATCAAACTTATTGTAACCCGTTGCAAACGTGACGTACTGAACAAATTACGACATCTGTTGTCAGAATTTAATCGCAGCCAGTAGTAAAACCTCCCAGTTAAAAAAAAAAAAAAAAGAAAGGGGAGGGCCAAATCTAAAAATGCAATAACCGCAAAAAAAAAAAAGAAGAAATACAGATATATATATTTTGACATATAGGTTGGTCGAGTAGTTCAATCGGGAATACTGAAGAGTCGAACCAATTTCGAGGCAAATCAGCGAAAATAAATATTTCGCCTAACCTGACAACGTTTTATGTGCGTTGTGCCCCCTCTTAAATAGACTATAAAGTGAATATTTTACTCTAAAAAGCGAGTGATCGGAATAAACCGTTCATGCTCACACAGAGGGGAGGAGCTACGAGCGTTTCTTTCCACGGGCATGAATTTTCTAAAAGAGATTATAAAGATTATCAAAGGTCGTATATAAAACCTGACAGTAAATATACGGTCAGGTTTTGGCTATCTGCCAAATACGATGGAGATTTCTTTTTATATAAGCCATTAGTGCAGGAAAATATTTTGACAAATTATAATTTGTTTTCTTGGGCACACTGAGCGCCAAAGCAAACGCAAATCAGAGGTTAGATACTTAGACAGTGTGAAGTTGGTCCGTCATAGGATGGTTCACTGGTTCATGATGAAGATGAGACACTTTCCAGTTCGGTACGACTGCTACACTGAGGTCTTTAACGTGCATCACGCGGTAGTGATGATACACGACCGCACGCAGATACGATGCTCATTAAGATTAAAACAGAAATGGGTGAGGAATTAAACTCCGGATATTTGGGCTTCTACAGCGCAAACCTTCGCTTCACGTGCTCTCAGTCGCTGTCAGCGTGGAGAATAAAAGTCAATATGATTTAAATGGTGACTTTAATAACACCGGTTTTACTATGATGATTTGAATCAAACCTTTTCCGCAGGAATAATCCATCAAATATGCATTTATTTTTTTTTGTCTGTCTTCTACTTGCATATGCCTTGTATTTAAATCAAAAGATCCTCCGCAAAAAAAAATATATATATATATATATATATTTAAAGCAGAATAGTTGAACACCGAACAACTCTTCGAAACAAATCACACCATTTAGTTTTTCGGGTTTCTTTTTTTTTTTTTTTTACGTTCTACTTTGTTTGTTAGGTACGTAATGTAGCCCTCTGCAATCAAATAAGAACCCGAAAAAAAAAACACAACTTTTTCACTAACTAAAATAATCAGGTGCTTTTGTCCTAGTATGGCGGGTTGACATCAATAAAATGTTGCTAATTAAACTGTATTTAAAAAAAAGTTTAAATGTAGAGCAATCACTTCTACCCTGTTATTGACTGATTAAACAATCTAATGTTTGAAAATACAAAGTGACATATAAATAAACGATCACTTGTTCTAGTTACACTGGCATAAATCAAATTAACCCGTTTTGGATCAAATAAACCTAACTTAATCAAATAAAACTTTTTTTTTTGCTTTGGTTGCGGTGCGCAAAGGCCAACAAACAAAAACAAAAAAATAAAACGCTGAAATAGAGTCATAGAGCACTCAGTAGAAGTAGCAAAAAGTGAGAAAAAAAGGAAGATAAGTAACAGGTAGAAAGAAGATAATCACTTCTGGCACCGGACGCGTCATCAAAGGCGTCACCGGAAGTTCGAAATGACGTCACAAAGTCGTCATGACGGAGAGAAAGATCACCAGGTTTCCCGGAAGAAGTTTCCGCTTCATTGTTACTGCATGTATAGACCCTTTTCCTAAGGGCGCCGCCATCTTAAATTGTCGTCACGTCCAGTATGGGCGAAAACATTTTTTGCCGTCGCCACGCCAATGGAATACATTTAGTATAGAAGCGTAACCGACAAACAGATGCTTGTTTTCCCTCCCCTCTATATTTTACTGTTTACAGGTTGAAATGTTTTATTATATTTTCGTCGGCCATACCGGGTACGCCTATTAGGTTGCTGGGAACGAGAGTACACGAAAAATGTCTATATGCTCCACACCGTTTTCACAAATAGAGACCACCGAGGTTACAAAACATTGACAAAATAGGATGCGTTGCCTTTCCCTGCTTGCATCTGCGAACTGGAGAAGTGCAAGAGACCCGGTTGAACAAATTGGACCCTGCCATCGGTATTCGGAGAAGCCCAATAGAAATTTTTAAAAAATTAGTCGGGAAGGTTCTTTAGCTGCCTTGACAACTGCACGTCGGTCCTTTGACGTTAAGTAACGGGAGATATAACATCCGCGATAACGGATATAAAAAAGCACATAAAAATGTAAATATTGCCATAATATTGTCCCCGGAGTAAAGTGGTAGTTCTTACATCCTGCGTATACCTGTCAATAAGGAATCTCGAGGTTCTACTTTCTTGCAAAGCACACGGATGGGAACCAATAGACTGTTAGAAAAGAAAAAAAGTAAGCGACATCTTGCAGCCACTGCGCCAATTAACCGAGTCTCTGCCAGATTGTATTTGGCACAAACTCTGAGCATGTATTAGAAAACGAGGGTCTGCCGTCAGCTTTCGGCGTGAACTAGGCTTAGGTCGTATCGAAAACGAGTATTGCGGCATCGTTCGGCGAGGACTTGGATCTAGACGCACGCTTCCTGCCCCAAGGATGGATAGATGAATGTATGGATATTAATAGCTATACCCTATACGGGCGACAGCTTGCACCACCTAGCCTAACAAGGAGATGGCCACCACCAATGTTGCTTGGTGGACTTTCCAAAAAAAAAAAAAAAGTCCATTGCTCCAATTTACGTCCCATGCCCGTTGTCACAGCTCAGACTGTTTATTTTTTTTTAGGTCTATACATATTTTCACTTTTTGTCATTCGCCGAGAGCAGCGGCTGGTTCTTTCTTCCACGTGCTTTGCCAGAAAGTACACACTCCAGATTTTTTTTAGTGCACATACCTACGGTCGCTGACAGCTTGAAGAAGATAGAGGGTGTGGCGAGTTTCCTGTACCGCATTATCGTTCGGGCTGCCAATCCGACAATGATGGTTTCATTTACTCCCTGGTTTTATTATTCCTACAATTGTTTTTTCTTCCCCGTTTCTTATTTTGTCTTTACTCTCTTCTTCGAACGCACCAGTCAATGGCGATGAGGGATGTGCCGAGGCGCCCAGATATATTCGGCCGGATCATTTTAAATGTGCATATTATAAATTATTGGGTCGTCACAAGGTGATCTGAGTGGCGACTCTTGGGCACTCTAATCAGCTGTTTTCGAAAGACGGACCAGCTCACTTTTACGGTTGAAGATGCGTTACAGGCGCTCTCGTCTTCAATTCGGGTGTCATTGTTTGAGGTCTTCCCAAAATCAAAACAAACTTTCAGTTCTTGAGAGAATGTTATCAGCACCATTTCAACCCATATCCACCTACGTGGGGCTATCGCATTTTCTCCGTAGACTATCCTTAAGTGCGTGTCTGCATTGCTTGAGTCTAAGCTCCTAAAACTAGGAATGGATATCGGGAATTTGTAGTGGATATGCTTCTTTATCATCAATCACTTAGATTTTTTTTTATGTTTCAGTGTTTCCTTATTTCTTCAGTGCAGTGTATTCCGAGCAAAGCTGATGTTCTTATCCACCCAGACAGTGGTCAAATATATAGCTAAATATTATTGAGCTTTTATGTGAGTTGCCCGACATTAGCCAATACACAATTAAGGCTTATTAAGGTGCTCAATCCTCCATCATCAAGCAGTTGTCCTACAGTGTATTTTTCATTTACTTCGGATGAATAAGTAAACCTAGCTGACTTAATCACGTTGAGTTTTTGTATTTTCGTATCTGTATTTTCTGTCATGTGAGCAGAAGTTATTGAAGGCCCCGCATTTGGTGCAGAACAAGAAGTCCCGTTCAGTGTATTTGCAACTGAAAATGTTGCTGCCGACGATAAAAAAAATACCTCAATTCCATTTATTCGTTCTGGATGTGATACGTTACAGTAGTACATGACCCAAACAAAAGTAAGAAAGCTGACTGGCATCTAACGCCCTAGTTCACTCATTAAGTTGTGCGACTTCTGCGTAGCTCTAGCTTTCTATGAATCTGTATTCAGAGCCTATGAGTAAAGAACCATGTCTGATAAAAAAAATAAACAAGCTTGTAAAAATATATATTAGTTTTCAGAAATAGGTTAAGCTTACTAAAAATCGCCCTGAGGTTCTCGATCGTCATATTTTGTACAATACAGACTCCCTGAGTGTCAGCGCTTTCTTTGTGATTGATTAGATAGTGAAGCGCCAAGTGATTTTGTTTGTTTATCATAATTATTCGGGAACCCATCAGCTAAATTAAAGCCATCCTAAACCCACTCTTTAGATCTGTCACGTCATAATAAAAGCTCACTTCTGTCTGATATATGCAGCAACGACCTACATTCTTAAAACGCGTTGGGCTCTGCAGATTTTTTTAGTATTTTTTTCTTCTGACCATCAAAACCACTTACAACTACGGTTGCCAAAAAGTCTCTTCGCTAAATACGACAGAGACGATAAAAAAAAATTCTTTCATTTTTCAAGGAATATTTATTTTAATAAATATTAGTGTCTCTCGTGCTCAAAATGCTCTCCATCATTTTGTCTTCACAACAGAGGCCGCCAAGACAGCCAACCCATTCTTGCTAGTAGCGCTGGTGGTTAGCGCCCTTTTGGTCCTGGTGCTGACTTTCGCGTACCTCATTCGGAAGCACGAGCCCCAAGACGACGACCCCAACATCAACTTCCAACATCAGCAGTCCAACGTGGGCTTCGAGCCCGACTCCGAAGCCAATTCATCCATGACACCCTTACCTCCGTCGTACGATGACGTCGTCAAGGTGCCCTGGACCGTCTGGGCAGCCACACAGCAACAAGGAACCGGTGCCACTCCGCCACCGTCCTACGAAGACGTCCACAAGATGTTCCCATTTCCAAAGTGATGGACCTTCATCTAGTTCAAGAAGAGACTGGTTGATTGCGGGGATATGAAATCCCGGTCGTGATGTCAGGCTGCCCGTCCAGGTGGCCAATCCGATGGCACGCCCAATGGTACATCCAGTGTCAGACGGAATGGTACATCCAGTGGTTCACCTGGTAGGGCTTGCAGTGGTGCGTCATGTGTGACCTCGGATGCCGTATTCAGTAAAGGCACATACAATGGAATACCCGGCGTGGCATCTAGAGATTCATCCGGCGTTATATCTGATACAAGGCCAGGTGGCACGTCCGATTCAACACTCAGTGGCATAACCGGTAGTGAACAGTGATCAACCTACACTACAACGACAATAGGCGCTATAATTCCCGTGGAGAACTTAGCAGTACATTCAGCAGATAAGGTGGAGTTACGCCTCACTCCGGATGGATTCCAGAACGGGCAGGTCACGTACTCCAGGCTGGTGAGTATTGTGAACTCAAGCCAGATACCATGCCGAGTGTAGGTACGACGTGCTGTTACTGAAGGGTCCCCAAGCAACCTGACAGAGGACGTAGGGTGTTAAAAAGTGTTTGATCATCATAATGTGAAGTGTGAAGTGAAATGGAGTGAAATGAACGAGTGTTCGGTCATCATCAAAAGGAGTTCCAAAACTCAAACATCGACTTGCAACGTTGGCTGTGTGGTCGAGATTTTCATTGGACCACGCAAAGCAGCATACAAGCACGATCTCTAAGAATCACGGAACTTTGACAATCATACCTTAAAGGACACACAAATAAAATCAGTTCAATTATTACGTGTTTGGTGTGAACTTTAACAAAACTATTTACTGGATTGCAAACATTTGTTAAAATCCCAATTTTTTTTTCTTAGTTATTGTGTGTAATACAATGTGTTTGCACCTTTTTCTCTACCTCATGTAATGACCTCGGGCGATTTGAGGTAATTAAATGAAAATGATGGAAAAAAGATACATTAGAGAAATATATTTGTACCCCAGTAGCGAAATACTTTTACGACGTATCAATGGTGTCGCAATACTCTGCCTGGCATGCGTATCTCGATACAATTGTTGTCAATATATTAGCTGATACGAGGTGTTCCAGAGTTTATCATGTGAAACCGCCACATAACATCCTCTCGGAAAGAGGAAAGTCGTCCTCTTGCATATCGTACACACAAGTCACCAGAATTGCAAAAACGAAAGGTGGCTCCAAGATTGGCCAGTTGAGCCAGTCGTAGTTCCCTGGTCTCGCTCATTTCCTGTAGACTCCGTGAGTCCGGCTCACTTCGATATTTCACTTTAATATACCCTCGTCAAATCTCCCCCATCCCTTTTTTTTTTCCTGGCCTTTCTCGCTTTGCAAGTTACCGACAAAACTGAAAATCGTAATGTTCCAAACAGGAGATGAGGCGAAACACGGCTCATTTCGGAACGACCACGTCCACATCATCTACGACTTCGAAAACGGTGATTCCTTGTGATAGACCCATGGGAGGGCAGAAGTCTCGCTAGCGTGATGATCCAAGGGAAAGATGTTTCAACGCTCCAGAACTTTCTTTTTTTTTTCCGTCAAGGCGGTATTTACTCGTTTCAACCCAAATTTACGTTTGCCGGTGGCAGTGGAGAGGTTTTTTCTCTTTCACTAATTCAGTACTGCGACCAAATTGTAGGTGCCTTGAGGATAAGGTAGTTAAAAAGCTACTCACGCTGAACTGTAATTAGTTTACTTTCAAAGTTTAGAAATTCATTTTTTGATGAACTAAACATGTCAACTGCTTGACAATTCGAATGTTCTTTTTCGTGCCGTATTTTTTACTTGCGATACATATAACGTTGCTTGCAATACGCTATGTGTTTCCGGAGCAGGACCTCGTTAGAGAAAAAAAAAAGTATTTCAGTACCTATCTGTGCTGCTATTCCAAGATAATCTTTCCTGTGTTTGCAAAAGTATTTTAAGGATATCCCGTTACGTAAAATACAAATGTATTCAAGTATCTGTATTTTGGCCTTAAAATACTCGTATCTCTGTGTCTGTGTTCCGAGAAACTTTTTAAAATATCTCTGCCCAGCCATGTTTGTTTTTTGGGGGGGTTTTTTTCGTTTTTTTTAGGACTCGGTAAATGTATCAATAAGAGGCGTATTTGAGGCACCCTAATATTAGGCTCCTCTGATCGCTATTATCTCATTACAAATATCAGAATATATTTTCTAATGTATGATTCAGATAGTGTTAAGTTTGGCGTTTTTGGTGTCTGGTTCGAATACCTACCGCGAAATTCGGGTGAAGAGTACGGTTCGAATTACAATGTTAAAGTTCCTCGTTAAGCGCTCAGAGGAGTGTCGGCGAATAAACGCCGGTGTTCGCATACAGGGCGGGCTTGCTTTAGCGAACTCGGGGGTAAGAAAAAAGAAAAGAAGAATAAACTCTGGTGTCAAATTCCCTTCTAATGCAATACTGTGTGCAATGACGCAAATAATTGCGCAGAAAATGAACGGCACGCTGCCGCTCAAACATCTACTTTTTTCGTAATGCAACAGATGGCTTTAAAACTAGCGTTAAATACGATTTATGAAGTTAGGTTATGAAAGCTAAAGGCAGGTTTTTAACTGATACCTAAAAGTATACGTAAAACTATTTGAATTCACTCTTGTTCTGTGTTTAGTACTGGCTTATAGGTCTAGGCACGTGTGACCGTCTAACAGGAGCCTGAAATGTTGTCAGCGCGATCGGATGTTTTTTTTTAAACAACATTATATAACCAGAACTGATGTATATACACAGTACAGACCAACCCGCTGCGCTAGCTGACTTGTATGCGCATGCGCTGAACCGACAGCAGCGCCACCGCAGCTACGTGACGTCAGCATGCGTACGCGTATTTTGTTTCGTCGATATTACGTTAATTTTATATGTCAATATCGCATAAACTATTCATAAACTGCGTCATTTATCCAAATATCTAAGAGTAGCGCTGCACAATGCTAAGGGTCGTTGAAGACCTTGGGGCTCTTCATTGAGTGAAGATCTCACCCAAAACATTTTTTTTTTTTGTCAACAGTGGGCTCTTCGCAGACAAGGTAAAAGTAGGTGTTGGTAAATGCGTCGAGCCTGACTGCCATGTTAGCCGTTCAGTTATTCGGGCAATTCTCTTGTCTTGAAAACACAACACTGAATGCGAACTGGGCCACTCGGCAGCCCTTCTAATGGTATCGTTCAATACTTTCATAGCAGTTTATTGCGGTCAACTTAATGTACTCCACGTGTGAAAACAACGAGAAAAAAAAGAAAGAAAAAAAAAAAGGGGAAAGCTTAAACACGATGTGTGCCCCCGTCGCAGGCATGAAGGCTTTCATTTGTTGCGTTTGCATCAGGAAAAACCTCAGATGTTTTTCCTGCTGCAACCTGCAGCAACGCTTTATTTTGTAAGAACAAAAGTATCAAGCAGAAAATGAGCTGGATCCTCTAAAGTTCATTTGTCACTCCCTATTGAAGATACACGAGCTGTTCGTTGTCCGGAGGTTGATTTTAGGTAAACCTGCGTGGTCTATGTTAGATGAAACTAGCACTCTAGGATCTAACCGACCTGCATCAATATATATTTAGTCGAGAAGCGCATTGAGAATCACTATGTAGGCATGCAAGAGCCATGTGCTACTTCGCCAATGCCTTCCTGTTGTAGAGACGTTCGATAAGCGCCGAACAAAGCTCACTTTCTTCACGTAAAGTAGGAGCGCAGCTAACGCTATCGAGCCGATGCAACACCTTCCAAAAACGAAAGCCTGCTCGTCCGCTTCCTGACGTGTAGCTTGGCCAGCGAGCGGAAAATCGCTGGAGGAGTGGACTGTAGCTTCGATTGAAAATATTGTACGAATGTCACTTTTATGTGCGTGATGACGACGTAATTAATCGAAGTACAGCCTTTTATAATTGGATAAACCTCTGACTTTTATTGTTCACTTATAAAGCGCGATGACCGAAAGCACTTATGGTAAACATTAGCAACTGTACCCTCCCTACAACTATTTAACTTGATCTCCTTTATAAAGCCAAAGCTCTGCTCCGCAATCGCGAATATTTTAATTAGAAACATTTTTGACGTCCATGCTTTACAGAATTAAGAAATATGTCAAACAGCATTTTATGCCTAGCGTCTTCCAAGTAGTTCCCTGAAAGGTAAATAAAAGCACGCTCTCTGCCTCCCACCACAGGTTGGATGGCCACCTTTGTATTTAAGAAAATGTACGAAAATAAGTGACGGTGCTGCGCTAGATATTGAGTTATTTGTTTTTATTAATAAAAACGTAGCTTAAAAAGAGTGAAATAAGTAAATGCGACACGAAATGTGACTGCTCGACTACGTGTCAAAAGGCCATCATGCAGTAAATGAACGTTACGAAATGTGTTTGGGTGTGTTTGTCGGTTGACAGCAATGTCAAAATTCCTTCACATTTCCTTTTTTTATAATGCCAATTTTCGTGCGAACACAGACAGTCACAGTGCAAGGTCTGTTCCTGCCACTTCTTGGCAGGAAGTTAGGAACAGACCTTGCATCCAGCACTAAGGTATGATTTTCCTTCTTCCACGTATTACTGAGAAGAATGGTAATCGACAAGGTGAAGATGCGTTTAAGCACGGCCTGAAGTGTGTGGTCGCTTGCACAAGTGTCCAACTCTTCAAACTCTTGCAGCGTAGTTAGTGCCAGGTCCCTGACAAATTTTGGTTGAACACGCAATCGCAAGAACTGAGCGATAACAGAACGGATAGCTGGGCTAGTTGGTACGTATCCATAATGTAAACAATGCGACTGACATGGACGTAGAAAGACTGGATGACACGAGCGCTGACTGACAAATGACGGTTTTATTTTCATGAAACCAAGAAGAAAACAAAAAGTTACTCTCCTCTCGGGAGGCAATCGCGACCTCGGATATGACAAAGGCTTTTAGCGCCTTCACAACATTTCGTCTAATCAGTGACGCAGTGCACACCCATCATCCCAATCTAAACATTCTACCTCGCTATCTAACAGCGCCAAGGATGCTTGATTCACGCAGGTTAGGACTTTCTTATATTGAGTGCCTCGACAATCTACCGTGCCTTTTGGTCTCTGTGTCTAAACAACACGACGGCCTTCTCCAGTACCGGGTGGCAGGAGCAGTCTCTGCTCCTGCCACCCGGTATTGGTGGCTCACCGAGTTCTTGTGGAACCAAGTTCACCCCACCCTGCCTACGAAAAAAAAAGCAGTACGTCAAGGAAGGCACTGTGGTCGTCGTCGGCGATCGACCACTTCGAAAAAAACACAGCGAGATCCTCAAATCGGGTCCGAAGTTCTGTTTCGAGCCGGCGCTCCAACGGGTGGACAAACTGGTTCCGTCAAGGTATCTGTCCTCAGGGTCCCAGAAGAGGACAAGCTGAGATGCGCTGCTGAGTGTGCGGATGTTCTGTTAAGGGCAGAGGGGGGCCCTAAGAGGAGTAAAAGTTTAAATCGGTTATAAACTTCCTCGCCACCAGCGGGCTACGTGCACTTGTGTCCGATAAAGATGGTTTCTTTGGGATCAAGCCCAAGGAAATGCTTGCGGAAAAGGCCATGACAGCCATACACAAAACCTTTTTAGACGTCCGGGAAAATACGGGAAAAACTTAAGGAACGGGCCCGGGAGTTTCTTGGCAAACTGAACTTGAGGCAGGTGTCTGCGGGGGTGAAGAAGAAGAACCTTACGTTGGAGGTGTTCTTCGCTGCCAAGACGAACAATGTGTGAATCCCGTTCCGCACCATAAATTGTGTCAGGG